CCAGCTATCCCTCTCCTCGGTCTATACCCAAAGAACTTAAAAACAGCATACTACAGGTACACAGCCACATCAATGTTTATAGCAACACAATTCACAATAGCTAAACTGTGAAACCAACCTAGATGCCCTTCAGTAGATGAATGGATTAAATGTGGCATATATATGTATACAATGGAATATTACTCAGCAATAAAAGAGAATAAAATCACGGCATTTGCAGGTAAATGGATGGAGTTGGAGAAGATAATGCTAAGTATAGTTAGCCAATCCCAAAAATCCAAATGCTGAATGTTTTTTCTAATATAAGGTGAATGACTCATAGTGGGGTAGGGAGAGGGAGCCTGGGAGGAATAGATAACTCTAGATAGGGCAGAGGGGTGGGAGGGTACGGGAGGGGGCAGGGGGTTAGCAATGATGGTGGAATGTGATGGACATTATTATCCTAAGTACATGTATGAAGACATGAATTGGTGTGAACATACTTTATATACAAATGGAGATATGAAAAATTCTGTTCTATATGTGTAATAAGAATTTTGATGCATTCCACTGTCATGTATTTGAAAAATAAAAGCAATTATAAAAGAAAAAAAAAAGAAAAGCAAACATACCAGAGATCTTGCTTGTTCTCTCTTCCCACCATGAAAGAACATACCAAGAGGGAAGCATGTGACATTTGAATATATTTACAGTATCACTTTAGTATAAAGGGGATTTTTTGAAATATCTTAACAGAATCTAATATTTTTTCTAGAGTTGTTTTCTTCTTTCTATTAAGAATCTTCCCCAATAGAAAAAACTATATGTGAAGTTATACTGTTTTAGAAATGAAGTGCCAAAATATAACTCCAGTATAGTAAAAGATGCAGGCACTGTTCCTAGACCTATATCACAATTGTAACTAAGAAAGTGAATTTCATTTCAAATGCAATCAATGGACACAATTGGGAGGAAATAGATGGTGTGCGTTCAGTAACATAAAATACACCAATATTTTTCAAATATAATTAGTTATTGAACTACTTCCTATACCTTGTAAGTATCCCAAGGGAAAAAATTACTAAAGAGAGATGTTACACTGAATAGTAAGATATAGTGTGAATTTTAAAATGGTTATTCTATAATGCTAAAATATTGTTTTCCAGTGTCAAGAGAAATTTTTTATTAAACTCTAGGAGTAAATATGTTATACCAATATGCTGAGTTCATTTACATTTTATGAGATAACTTTATTTGTTCTGCAACTAGCTGGCTGGTGGAGAATTTGAACAATATTTGGTGATATTTTAAAGTTGTAATTTCATCAGTATCTGACTTAGGGAATCTCAATATAAATCTGGAAGTAAAAAGTGTTGTATGCTATGTTTAGTGACTCTGCAAGGAGTGAAATATAATTTTTCCCCACCACTTCCCAGTGTGCATTTTCTGAGAAGTTAGTTGTCATTTGTTCTGGAAAAATTCATTTCATCCTAAATTGGACTAACATTTCAAAGGAAACCCTTGAAGGTCACAAAGAAAGATACTTTTAAAAGATAATTGTTTAAAATTCAATAGTAAGAACATGGAAACAATACTGAAACATGGAAAGGAAAAAGTATCTGCCAGGGAACTTTGGACTGGGTAGAGGGAAGTGAGGGGAGGCAGGGGGTAAGGGGGTGGGAAAGACAGTGGAATGAGACAGACATTATTACCCTATGTACATGTATGATTGCGTGAATAGTGTGACTCTGCATTGTGTACAACCAGAGAAATGAAAAGTTGTGTTCCATTTGTGTACAATGAGTTGAAATACATTCTGCTGTCATGTATAACTAATTAGAACAACAAAAAAGTATGTTCCACAACTGGAGTATGCTCTCTCTTTTTATGCATATATGATAATACTAAACACAATATATACACATATGTATGCTTTGCATTAAAAGGATACGTTATCCCTGATATTTTGTAATTTTGTTTGTTTAATTTTTTAAATTTTTATTATCATCATCATGGTTAGCATCATGATCATCGTCGTCGTCGTTGTTGTCTCGTCATCATCATCATCATCACTTGGAACTGAACCCAGGGGCACTCTACCACTGAGCCAGCCCTTTTATTTTTTATTTTGAAATAGGGTCTCACTAAATTGCTGAGGTTGGCTTCAAACTTGTGATCTCCCTGTGTCAACCTTCCAAGTAGACGGAATTACAGGCCTGGGCCACTGTACCCAACTGCAGCTTTGTTTTTTAACCTCAACAATACATCATTGATATTCTCCTGGTCAGTAGGTATAGTCCTGTCTCATATTTTCCAATGGATATATTCCATACTATTCTATAAATTAAAAAAAAAAATTGAACCTCTGTTGATGAGCATGTTGTGTGTGTGTGTGTGAGTGTGTGTGTGTGTGTTTGTGTAACTCACATGTATTTTATTAATCTTTTAATTGACAGATAACATTGTATAAATTTACCTTGGACAACATGATGATTTTAAGGATATATATTATGATTGGTGAAATCCAGCTTATTGGCAAATGCATTACCTCATGTAGTTACCATTTGATAGCACATGATACTCCCTATGCTTACATTTTTCATAAATATAATGTATTATTATTAACTAGTCAATAAATCTTTGAAGTTTATTCTTCCTAACTATAATTATGTAGCCTTTAACATTCACCCACCCCAACTACATCAGACTCTGGTAACCACCATTATACTCTCCACTTCTATGAAACCAACTTTGTAACATTTTATTATTTAAAAAAAAATCTTTTTGTGCCTGGCTTATATCACTTAACATAATGTTCTTCAGGTCCCTCAATGTAAAAAATGGCTGAATGTCATTCTTCTTTTATGACTGAATAGTATTTTACTGTGCATATATTCCACATTACCCATTATGTATAAATCCATTAATGGACATGTAATTCAACTCTGTATCTTAGCTATTATGAATTGTACTTCAATAAATATGAAAGTACAGGTATCTCTTTGATATGCTGATTTTATTTCCTATGGTTATATACACAGTAGTGAGAATGATCATATGGTAGGTAATTCTTTTTCCTACTTCAGCCTCCCAAGTGAGGATTTCAGGCATCAGCCACTACACCTGGCAAAATTCTAATTTTTAGTTTTTTGAGGAACCTCCATACTATTTTCTGTAATGACTGTACTAATTTGCTTTCACAATAGTATATGAAGGTTCCTTTATCTCTGTATCCTTACCAACACTTACTCTCATTTGTCTCTTCATAATTGCCATTCTAACTGGTATTTGGTAGTATCTCATTGAGGTTTTGTTTTTATTTGATTTAGATAAAAGTCTAATTTCATCCTTTTGCCTATAGATATTCAGTTTTCCCAACATCACTTATTGAAGAAAATGTTCTTTTCTTCATTGTGTTCTTGGTGGCTTTGTTGAAAATCAGTTTGCTGTGAATGCGTTCATTTATTTCTGAGCTCTCTATTCTGTTTGTTTGTCTGTTTTTATGCCAATACCATGCTGTTTTGGTTACTATAGTTTTATAGTATATTTTGAAGTCAGGCACTGTGATTCCCCTAGCTTTGTTCTTTTTGCTCAGGGTTGCTTTGGCTACTTGAGAGTTTTTTGTTTGTTTGTTTTTTATTTTGTGGCTCCATATGAATTTTGTTTTTTTTTATTTTTGTGAAGAATGTTATTAGCACTTTGATAAGGATTGCATTGAATCTATAAATCATTTTTATAGTATAGCATTTTAACAATATTAATTCTTCTGATCCATGAATATGAGGTATGTTTTCATTTCTTTATATCGCACACATATTTTAAATTATACAATTAATAGCTGCACAGGACTTTTTTTAAAAAACAAACAAACTATGTAGCTGAGTCTTTGCTGTATTCTAGGCCCATACCCCAGCAGGAATCTTTTTGCAGCTTCTTTGAAAAGTTTTTTAGTGGTTATGAACATAATCTTAAACCGTATATATATGTATGCCTTCATTCATTGGTTTCTCAACTTTAGGCACTGTGCAGGTGAAGCAGAGCTTTACTACAAGGAGATGCCAAACACCTAATATTCTCAAGAGGTATATTATAAGAATTTGAGAATTCCCCTGATTCATATATGCCATTCTGTCATTTAATTTCTCCCATAAACTTCTGTCATTTAATTTCTCCCATAATCACTGTTTTCACAATGATTCTCAACTGGGAGGAAGAGAGTATGCTACCATCTCAGCCCACCAGAAGACTCCTTGGGAAGGCCTTTTTCAAAATACACTTGTTTTTCTTCTAACTCCCAAGTGGAGCATGTTTCCTTGATTGAAAATCACTGTATATAATTTCAGATATTACCAGTTGGGAGTATTTTTTGCAGTTATTATCTAGAAGCAAATGAACAACAAAAAAAATTAAGAAAAAAAAATACACACATATGTGTGTTGGTTTGTGTGTGTGTGTATACATACATACATACATATACAAGTTCTTTCTTTTCAGGTTAAGGGGCATCTTAGATCTCTTCTCTTTTAATTTATCCTATTATTTTCCTATAAACCCTAGCAGAGGTTCTCCTTTCTACTCAGTTCACAAGAGCTCCTGTGTCAGCATTAATGAGTTGAGAATAGCAAAACAAGTAGGGACGCAGGTGCTGTGACAGGGTAGGGCTCACTGCTGAGTTGTGTGACCATCTTCTTCAAGAAAATTTATATCCAGCAAAATTATTACCATGGGCCTTTGGAATTTCAATGGAATAATTGAAATTCTGACTGCTAATTCTTGTGAATATCAAACCAAATCTATCATCTTTTATACCTTTAAACCGGTAGAAATGATTTAAAGACCTAAGATTCTGTTTGCTTGAAGACCCACCTTACTGGGTGCAGTATAGTCTGAAATCACAATGACAAGGACATGCTTACTTGGAGAGTGGATCCACAGTGCTTTGAGTTCTCTCTAAAGCACCTGAGGGTAAATGAGGAACCTTAGACTGGAGGTACTAATGGGGTTCTCTGTTTTATCTGCAGACTGCAGCTGAATATGTAAAATCTCGGCTCCCAGAGGCCCTCAAACAACATCTTCAGGACTACGAGAAAGACAAAGAAAACAGTGTATTGTCTTACCAGACCATCCTTGAACAGCAGATTCTGTCAATTGATCGAGAAATGTTAGAAAAATTGACTGTATCCTATGATGAAGCAGGTATGTTTATTTTTAGTATAAACACACATACAGGCACACAGTTTTTTTCCTTACAAAATTTATTTATAGTTCTCAGTTAAATTTAGCCCTTTCTATGGGGTAGAAGGTTAAGGGCAAACTAGATTCAAAGTTGTATAACATGGATTAATAGTAAGTTTCTTCTCAGCAGTTTTAGTATCAAAACTTTTTCAGGAGATTCATAAAAATGGTTCTTGAATATCAAATCCCTTTAAGCGTTTGCTCTTTTTAAAATGGAATTTTCCTGGCCTTTTATCAGTCATGTACTCCTATTGATCTAATCTTTTAAAGTGTCACTTCAATTTTGGATACCAGCTAAAAACTTTTCATCTGATAATCTGAGAGCTGTTATTTGATTCAAACTTTTTTTTTTTTAATTTTAGAGATTTTTTGTTTCTACAGAGGTTTTTTTTTTTTCTTTGAAGTTTTAAGCTGAATTTGACTTTCTACCATAGCAATTCAAATAAAACCCTAATACCACAGAGATTTTGGTTCACTGTGTGCTATAGGCTCATCCCATCCAAGGAAGCTTATTCAGGGAGTCATGCATAGAACCCCATGTAATGCCATGATCTGTTAGCTAAAGCCCAATTTTAATGACTCAGGTACAATATTACTTAGAATATTAAAATTATTAATAAAATTAAATAGATGCAGTAAAAATATTCTGATTAAATTTAACATATTTCTCACCTTACCAAAAGGAAAAAAAGGGTGGGGGATATAGGAAAATAGGTTGTTAATGATCAAATGTTGATAGTTTTAATCCCTATTTTGATATCAGGAATTTCTGGTTTTATTTCCACAAAGATTTTTTAAGTATGGATCTAATTTTTTATTATAACATAAGCAGTCAATGCTGATATTCTTAGCATTTGATTTAAAGCTTTGATGATAGTAGACAGAAGTGCAAATTTAAGGGGAAAAAAAGCACAACATTATGCTATATTTACCTAACCACTAATGCAAATTTTTTAGTTATTATGCTGTTCCCTTTTACATTGTACTCTCTAACCCCTTCACATCCTTCTCAAGCAGGATTCACATTTCTAGTCTTGCTCAGGACATTTATACTCTCCCTGGTTTTCCTTTGCTTTATTAATTTCCCCAGCATATTGGCTTGCTTCTGCCTCTAGGGGATTAGTCATTTGGTCTCTATATTTGTTTGGCCTTTACTATTGTTCTTTTTGACATCTTATTTATCACTCTTATCCTTAATGGAACAAAGTAGATTGTGATCCACCCCAGTGAAAATAATATTTAAGTATTCATAGCCTCTTAGAGATCATGAAACTCACATATTCCACCCACTTCTTGCTCCTGTACTCATTTTAAGGTGAGAAAACTGAGGGCCTTAGATTCACTTGAAATAAGTTCTTTGTTTGTAGGACTAGAACTCTTATATCCTAATTACAAATCAAGGTGTGCTATTGTAGGTTCTCAGTTGTTTGGTAAGCATTTGTTAAATAAATATCTTGTATTAGGCAGTTAGGAGAAATGAGGAAGATCATTAAAAGGGAAGAATCTAGGATGTAGAAATAGATCATGCTTAACATCCAGCTGGGGACCTAAAACATACATATATGACCTATTAGATTTAGAAAAAAAAAATCCCAAGAAATTTGAGACTAAATACACCCTGTAACATTCGCAAGCTATTAAAGTTAAATTAAGCTATGGAGTCAAGAATAGCAAAAGTGGCTCAAGTTTCTCGTGGACTTCTTTAAAATATTTTTTTAAAGAGAGAGTGAAAGACAGAGAGAGAGAGAACTTTTTTTTAATATTTATTTTCTAGTTTTCAGCGGACACAACATCTTTGTTTGTATGTGGCGCTGAGGATCGAACCCGGGGCCGCACGCATGCCAGGCGAGCGCGCTACCGCTTGAGCCACATCCCCAACCTCGTGGACTTCTTTAGGGGAGGGCATTTGCTTACAACATGAAGAACAAATGCTGAAAATGGATTTGTGGAGAGCAGGGAAATGCATTCTAGTGGATGAAGACGAAGACGTAGGAATAAGCACCAAAGTGAAAGTGAACATCAGCCATAACCTCCCACCAACCAATTTTTCCTTCTGCTGGAATAATTTTCCACTCTTCCAGACTGTACAGAAGTACAGTTGAACTTGTATGTGGCCTTTAGGGGTACATACTTTGGTTACTCTGTAGCATGAAGCAGTGGAAATAAACACAGGATTGAGAGTTAAAGAATCTCAAGTTCTAGGCCTTGCCTCTACCTTAATTACTAATGTGATGTTTAGCAAATTAATTTCTTAGGACCTCTGTTTCTTCTTATATAAAATCGGGCTAATAATGTTTCAAAGGGTGTTTCTAACAATAAAATATATTGTGTTTGGGTAGGGCCTTAGGAATCTATTGAAAATGCTAGCTAATGCCACTAATGCTGGATGAGTTCAGATTTGAATCTTGCCTATCTTGCCTCAAATGACTTTAAGGTATTATTAAGGTCTTTTCATAGCATGTGGTGTTTGGGAAACAGAAAGAAAAATTTAAAAATGATTTTCAGAAGTGTTGAGAAGTAAAGCATCTATTTGTAAAATCATATGCGCTGAGATTGCATGAGGTGATGTGGACAGGTAATATGGTTAGGGGCTGTGTGCATATATAGATGAATGAATGTCATCATGTGTCGTAAAATCAAAAGGTAACCTATGTAACTCTCATATTAATGATTTCAATCAAAATCAGAGTAGAAAATAAAAGATATTTCTATTTCATAGAAAAATATTTCATCATAATTTAAAGAAATTAGAATAGAAAATTGATAAAAGCATTCAGTACCCTTTCTGAAATATAACCATCCTATACTCAGACACTTATTTGCTTAGCTTCCTTCTATGCTTTCCCAGTTTTTACATTTTCATATTCTTTTTTAAAAATATATTTTTATGTGTTCTAATTAGTTATATGTGACAGTAGAATGAATTTTGACACATCATACATAAATGGAATATAAACTTCTCATTCTTCTAACTGTTGATGATGTAGAGTTATGCAGGTCATGTAATCATATTAGATTACACAAAGGATAATAATGTCGGATTCATTCTACTATCATTTCCTACCCACCCCCTTCACGTTCTTAATTGAGCTCTTTCAGTTTTAGCACGGAGTTGATTGTTAGTAGAAAATATCCTGGTCTCTAAAGAGGTTAACTTGTTTTTAATGCTTATCCACTGATAAATCAGCCTGGGTGACTTAGTGACAATTATCACCATCTGTGACTTCTAAACTTCCAAAAACTAATTAATGAAAAAAAATCCTTAGACACTTGTCTAAAAGCATTGGCCCAGAATCTACCCTTTTTTTCTGTTTTCCCTCTTTCTGTGTCCTCTCTTCTCCTTTAAATACATATAAACCTTAATGCTCTGCCTGTCTATAGTTCAACTTTACAGCAGCCTGAAATTCAGGAAAGGATAGGAAGTAAGCCAAAACCCTGTTTGTGCAACCAGATCACACAGTCCATTCGACAGAGGCCTTAGATATTCCTTTAGAATCCATGTTTTTATCTTATGTAATTCTCACTAGTTAGGTTATACTTTCCAACGTGATGCTTTCTTTTTTAAAAATCCCTTTTCTGACTGTAAGCATTATACTCGAATTGCAGAAATAAATAAGTGGTATAAAACAGTATAAAAAGAGAATAATAATTAATAATAATCTTACCACAACAAATATTTTTTATAGTTCCCTCACTCTAAGAAATTTTTAAAAGTAGTTGGGATTATTTATTTATTTAGATACCAGAGCCTAACCCATGGCATTTAACCACAGAGCCACATCTCCAGCCCTTTTTATTTTTTTTTTAATTTTGAGATTGGGGAGGTCTCGTTAAGTTTCTCAGGACCTCACTAAGTTGCTGAGGCTGGTTTTGAACTTGTGATCCTCCTGACTCAGCCTCTCCAGTCACTGGGATTATAGTTGTGGGCCACTGCACCTGGTGGTATCTTGTAATTTTATGTCCTGCTTTTTTTCTTGACGTTATTACAAAAGCACGTCCTCATTTCATTAAAACTTCTTTGTGTGAAAAGAATTTTTTTTACAGTGAGTGTAATATAATTACAGTAATTATATTTATTGAAAGACAATATCTTTGCTCCTTTGATACATACAAATAAATTATCCAATTGTTTTGACTTTGGATTATTTCACTTTAATAATTACTCTGATTTATCATTTCTGAAAGCATTAGGTCCTTACTGTATTTTACTATGAATCTTTTGATATTTATACTTGATAATTAAATACTTTCTTAACATTTATTTAACCTGCAGGTTCTTTGCCATATATATAAACTGATGCATATTTTGAACACAGATCTTTCCTTAGTCATTATTACATGTGTAGTATATGTGTCCAGGATCAATTTTTTATGTCAAGTAAGGTTTGAGCATATGTTAAAGACTTTGCTACAGTCTTTACGTTTATAGAGTTTCTCGTCAAACTATGATCTGGGAAAAGGATTGAGAATTGATTAAAGCCTTTCCTACATTATTTATATTTGTAGTGTTTTCCCCAAAATGAATTTTTTGACTTGAGTAAGATTTGAGCAAGTTTAAAAGACTTTGCTACTTTCTTTGCATTTGCAAGTTTCCTCTCTGGTGTGAACTATCTGATACATAATAAGATATAGGGATGAGCAAAGGATTTGCCATATAATATACATTTGTAGGGTGTTATCTTCAGTATAGATTCTTTGACATTGAGTAAAGTATGAGGACAGATGAAAGGATTTGCTACACTCTTTACTTTTCTAAGGTTTCTTTCCAGTGTGCATTATGTCTATTTAGATTTAATGATTATTAAAGACAATTCTACTATCACGTCTGTAAGTATTTTCCCTAATATGAATCGTCTGATGTTAAGTTCTGAGGACTGGTTAAAAGTTTTGCCACATTCATTATATTTGTAAATCTTTTCTTGAATATTGATATTCTGATGGATAAATTCTGAACACTGATG